AGCAATATGTGTCCGGAATATGGAGCCACAGTCGGCTACTTCCCCATCGACGAGAATACGCTGAGTTACATGCGACAGACGAGTTAATATTGATGGCAAATAGTATGAAGAAAGGATCCATATTCATCTTTTATCCATTGCAGATCGCTCTGAGAAGAAAATCCACATTATTCGCGAGTATCTAAAGGCCACGCGACAGCTGCGGGATTACGCTCTGCAAGATCAGGATCCCACATACACAGAGGTACGTTCTGGTGTCTCCTTTCCTGTCTGACTAACTCTTGCATGTCACACCATCGCTGGCAGTCTGTTACTTTGGATCTTTCCACAGTGGTCACATCGGTCTCGGGCCCCAAACGTCCGCACGATCGCGTCTCTGTTTCGAGCATGTTTGAGGATTTCAAAGCGTGCCTGACCAGTCCAGTGGGCTTCAAGGGATTTGCTGTACCGCCAGATGCTTTGTCCGCCAGCGGAGAGTTCCAATGGGAGGATGGGAAAAGCTACAAGCTGCGCCATGGCTCTGTGGTCATTGCAGCCATAACTTCCTGTACAAACACATCGAATCCATCGGTAATGCTGGGCGCCGGTCTGCTGGCCAAGAATGCTGTGGAGAAGGGTCTCAGCATTTTACCGTACATCAAGACATCGCTGTCGCCGGGCTCTGGTGTGGTTACCTACTACCTCAAAGAGTCGGGCGTCATTCCGTACCTGGAGCAGCTGGGCTTCGACATTGTGGGCTATGGCTGCATGACCTGCATTGGCAACTCGGGACCGCTGGAGGAGAATGTGGTCAACGCCATCGAGAAGAACGGCCTGGTCTGCTGCGGTGTGTTGTCTGGCAATCGAAACTTCGAGGGTCGCATTCATCCCAACACGCGGGCCAACTATTTGGCCAGTCCTCTGCTGGTGATTGCCTACGCCATAGCTGGACGCGTGGACATAGACTTTGAAACGCAGCCGCTGGGCGTGGATGGCATCGGGAAGAGTGTGTTCCTGCGTGACATTTGGCCGACCCGTAGCCAGATTCAGGAGGTGGAGCGCAAGCACGTCATTCCAGCCATGTTCCAGGAGGTCTACAGTGAGTCCTAAAAGCCTAAAAAGTAAATTTACAGCAATTCTCATCTAAACTTTATTTTCTTTAAAGGCAAAATCAAACTTGGCTCTGAGGACTGGCAAACCCTTGAGGTTTCCGATGGCAAGCTTTATCCCTGGAGTGCGGCGTCCACCTACATCAAACGTCCGCCCTTCTTTGAGGGCATGACCCGGCAGCTGCCGAAGCTGGGCAGCATTGAGGGTGCGCGCTGCCTGCTCTTCCTGGGCGACTCCGTGACCACTGATCACATCTCGCCAGCGGGCTCCATTGCCAGAAACTCCCCAGCTGCACGCTATTTGGCCGAGCGCCATCTAACGCCGCGTGACTTCAACTCGTATGGCTCGCGACGCGGCAACGATGCGGTAATGGCTCGCGGAACCTTTGCCAACATACGCCTGGTCAACAAACTGGCCTCCAAGACCGGTCCGCGAACCGTGCACATGCCCAGCCAGCAGGATATGGACATTTTTGATGCTGCCGAGCGATATCGGCAGGAGGGTACGCCCTTGCTGCTGATTGTCGGCAAGGACTACGGCAGTGGCAGCTCCCGCGACTGGGCCGCCAAGGGTCCGTTTCTGCTGGGCATCAAGGCTGTCATTGCGGAGTCATACGAGCGCATACACCGTTCGAATTTGGTCGGCATGGGTGTCATTCCCCTGCAGTTCCTGCCAGGACAAAGTGCCGATTCATTGCACCTCACCGGTCGGGAGATGTTTAACATTACCCTGCCCAAACGCGACGACTTGCGGCCGGGCCAGAGAATTCAAGTCAACGCCGATGGCAATGTTTTCGAGACGACGCTACGCTTCGATACTGAGGTGGACATTACGTACTACAAGAATGGCGGAATTCTAAACTACATGATACGGAAGATGCTTGACTAGACCTTGCTCAACAAGGGTGCCTTACGTTATTCCATTTGCATTTGCATTTGTAACAAAATTAATAATTTTCTAATCTTGTGACGAATAAAATTGGAAAAGAAAATATTAATATTAATTCAAGGAAACAGTATACACGGTATAAATGCGGCCCATACTCCTTATACATACATGTCTATGCTTATTATCTGTAGTTACGGTGTAAAAATGAATCTACATTAACCAGCAATATGGCGACAGGGTTAAGCAGCATTGTTGCGCAACTTGCTCATGCCGTGCGAGCAACATGTAGCATTCTTTGGGAAATGTGATAATATAGAATTGAGGTAAAGAATGTCACTTGAGGCTCGCTTCCCAATTAATACATACACTATACAGTCTCGGGTTTAAAGCTAAATTAATTCAACATTAATTTAATGGTAAAGGGTATACAAATGTCCATTTCCTCATAACTGAAATCTGGTTGAGCAACAACAATGACGTCCATTCCGGACACACATAGATTGCATGCTTTGACTTTAAACTTTATTTTGTAAGCAATCCCATAAAAATAAGTCTTAAAAACTAGCCAATCCTGCGGAAAATTATTTCATCACTTGGATAAAATATTACGTTCAGTGCTGAAGGTAAAAACTGGCAAGTTATTTTAAAGCGAATATCAAAGTCAAGTAATACGTTTTCCGATCAACAAAAACGAGCTTTAGCCCATTGTCGACCTGGGTGGTTTTAAATAAGCCCACGGTTATTATACAACTGGAAGAATTTGACCGCAGTGCAAGTAAAAGATATCGTTGTTATACGTTTTTTAAAGAATAAATAAGTAGGATTTTTAGAAGATAAATGTACTAGACAGATTTATGTTCCGCGGTTTAAATAGAGGAGGGTTAATCGTATTAGGTTTGATTTTTTCCTTGGTATATTTACGGTATTTTTTTGACTGTAATACGGTTTATTTGTGATGATCAGGCGGCATATTTTATCGATAAATCTTCGGTCACACTGCTCTTTTCTCCAAGTCCAGGGATTTCTAAATAAATAAATTCTAACAATAAAAATAAATAAAAAAACGCGCGGTCGTAAACAGTGTGCCATCTTGTAGATGGGATCGCATTGTGAATTCTTTGAACACGCCACGACTTGTGAAAAAACCGCTGTCCACACGCAGCACAACGTCGCGCCTCCGCCTCTGCCGTCGCCATCGCCATCGCCATCGCCCGTGCCGTCGCCACCTCCGACTCGACTCGACTCTGCCCAGTGCTTGTGCTTGTGCTTGGGGGGACTCTAGCAGCAGAGAGCACACAGGTCCAGTTTTGAACACATAGATATATATATTGCAAGTTGCATACGTCGCGTCGTGTGGATTATGTCATTTATTTATAAAAACACAAAGGTACAAAACCGTTGAATGTTGCACCAAAAAGCAGAGAAAACCTGTAAAAATGTAGACTGTGTGTCCGTTTCTGTGTGTGTGTGCGTGTGCGTGTGCGAGTGTGTGCCGCAGATAATGGTTTAATGTTTTAGTTGTGGCCGTTTAAATATATACACATAAATATACAAAGCTATAGAGAGATATATATGTACATAGCATAGTCGGTACGCGAAGTATATGCGTCTCAGCACGTCGCCGCTTCTGCGAGCTTCCCGACCCCAAGTGTCCCCCCGCGGAGTCCCCAGGGGCCAATGCGCGCGAGAAATGCCGCTGTCCCCACCTCCGTTCTAGCACCATCAACAGCTCGAAAAATCCAACAAATTTGGAGTAAATACTAACAAAAATATCAACAAATGGCCACATTCAATGGGAACGCCACCAGCAATGCCGCGGATGTCCTGAGTTCCTCGGTGGCCGCTGCCACAGCAACAGCCACATTTCTGGTGCCCACCACGACGACCCAAGCAGCAGCCATTGGAGTGCCGCCATCGCTGCATCTTGATCAGTTTGGGGGCTATATGAGCAGCACGGGTGCTGTCACACCGCTCCATCATCATCAGCAGACCAACTCCTCCTACACTTTTGTGCAAATCAAACGCGAGCCTTGCCAGGTATCCGAGATTAGTTCCAACAATTGCCATCAGCAGCAGCAGCAGCATCAACAGCACCACCACCAGCCGCTTAACCACCACCACCAGCAGCAGCACCACCAGCAGCAGCAGCAGCAGCATCATCTCCAATCATCAACCGCATCGCTCACAGCCGCTGGCCTGGGCACAGTGTCCTCGTCCGTTACCGCATCGGCCACTTCCAAGACCATGTCTTCTTCCACACTAACGACGCTCGTTAAGATCGAGGCTCCATCCCCCAAAGTGTCCGATCTAGAAAAGTCAAATGGCAGCACAAGTAGGTTTCCCCTTCGTTTTCCCTTTTCCACGCTCCCTCGTTCTCCATCCACCATCCCCACTCAACGTCATTATTTTCATTTTTTTTATGCCTAGGCAATTCCGTGCCCATTGGTATTGCCGTGGCCCGGAAACGGCCACAGGAGGCCCTGGTGTCGACATTGACCAACCCGGCAACGTTACCTCTACAGCAGCCACTCAGCAAGGACATGAACTGCTTCGGCATACGCGTCGCTGACCTGAGTAAGTGTGTTAGACGGGGGGCCTCATCAGCAGCATCTAATTTAATTTAAGGGCCCCAGATTTCTGTGTGTGTGTGTGTGTGTGAGTGTGTGTCTGCGCGCCTTTAATGAGCGCTGTGCCAGCCGACCCGCGTCCAGCCGTCCCCAGGGGCATCGTTATGATGCTTATAAAGCCAAAGCCAAAGCGAAAGGACATGGCATGGCCGTCGTTCAATTATCCCACTAATAAGATTTCAACAAACATTGAAAAATTCCTTCAGACCCGCTCGAGTTGAGGGTGTCTCTGGTAAACACCCCGTCAAAAGTTGCGAGGGGGCAGAAATCATATGATGTGAGATGATGGCCGCCTGCTGTGTCGGCTGTGTCGGCTGTGTCGTTGTTGTGACAGCGGCTGACTCAACCCACCCCCTCGCAAAGACTTTAATATTAAAACGTAGATATTGTACATATAAGGAAACCGGTGGTAAATCATACGAAACTTCTAAAGCGGAAATAAAACGAAAGTGAAACACATTTTTGCGAAATGCAAAGAGAGGTCCTGCTCTCCTCGACCTGTGAATGCTCTACGATGGCATTTGCATTCCAGAAATGAAAGAAAACTCTCTCTGCTTACAATTAATTCTTTGAATTTCGATAGCTTAAATTGAACTTCACTTTAATCATATTTCGATTGGCCAATGTGTGATCATTTTTCAAGCATTTCCAGCAAAACAATAATCAACTCAATTTCAACCGCTTTAAGACTTTCTCGGGACCAACTTGACTCCCGAGCCTGTTATTTTTAAGCCATTGTGTATTTTGTTATTTGATGCCGAGGACCGAAGCAGACCCTCTCAGCTGAACATGGCATTGACAGACGTGAAGCATGGGCGGGCGAAAGGTGAATCGTTTGTATAAGGTGCATCACGAAACCCTCGCCATAGAACAACTTTTTTTATATGGTTTAAGGAACTTGAATTTTATTGCATTTTTAGCGGTACAGCAATAACAGAAATCCCAATCAGGGTAAATAGAGTCGAGCAGCACACGAAATGTATTTAGATTTTAATTCCCAGGCATTCTTCCTGGCAGCATTCGCTTGTGTGTCTCGAGTCCGAGCATCAATGTGCTACAAAAGTGGCTACAGTCTCACTTTAAATGTTTGTTTATTAATATTTGAACACCGTTCTAAAGAATGTTTATATAACAGATTGAATAATATATAAAATTCATATATTTATGTACAAAGTTTAGGGCACAATCAGCTTCGTGATGGTTTAATGCACGCTTCAAAAAAAACCTCGTGGTTCTCGTGTGCGTGTGTTTTTTTTTGTGTGTGTGTGTGTGTGTGAGTTTGTGAGCGGAGAAGGGGCATTGAAGCGCGAATCTAAAGACAGATTACTCATAGGCAGTGCTCTCGGGTGGGTGTTTTCCAACAACTTAGCGACTGCTGCCGCTGTTGCTGATGCTGGGTGCACAAGAAGAAGGTGGTGCGTGGAAAGTAGTCAATGGGGGAAATGCCACAAGGGATGCTGCTCATGCTGTGACGAGCGAACAAGGAAGAGTGTAGAGCGACTGGGAGATCCAGGAATACGACACGATGGAATTGGTTTGGGTAACATGACCATATGGCATTGGTCCTGGCCCTAGCTTAGTTATGGTTTTCTTTTTTGTTCCCTTTGGGCAGGGACTCCGAGTTCTATTTATACCATTTTGGTGGGTAGTTTTTCCAAGACAGGCAACAACATGGCTTCACTTGTCAAATAATGTCAAACTAATTGCATTTCTCGGATGGGATCTGAATGGAATACATAAATATCCGGTTTGGCTGTCATTATTTGGATGGTTTTTAATAGCTCCCCTCAATGTTAAATGTAATGCAATTATAAAGCACTGAATATACATCAGCTTTAATTGAATTATTTGTGAAATTATACAGCCACAGGCTGTGTGGCGGCGGGGTAGTCTTGTGTGGGGTGGGGAGTACTGCATAGTTCAAGGACATGGAAAATATTTCTCAGTATACATACGCAAGAGGACACTGGAGGGGCTAAAGCCTGCCAGCCAAAGTTGAAAAGTTGAGGAGGCAAAATAACTGAATTTATAAAAAAGTTATTTATGCATAACACTAATCGAATCTGTGTGTGTTGCAGGTGCCACTAGTTGCGGCAATTTGTACTTTACGGGCAACGGAGACCTGATGACCACCGGCACAGCCACAGCGGAGGATCTAAACCGAACACCATCGACATTCTGGCAGTACCCGAGTGAGTAACCCAGAATTCCCCAGCTTAGACTTCAAGATTTCCCGACACCCAATCCTGCTTCACAGTTTCTATCTCCTCTATTTGGTTTATCTATTTTCTTTTTTCGTTGCGTTTTTTGTAGATGCATTACCCATTGAATCAGTGATTTCCATGTCCCCCGCCACGGTGGGCCTGCAATATACGCGCGAGGCCAACCGCGGACAGGTGGTGCTGCTGCCGGCCGCCCCAGCAGCGCTCGGTAAGTGTTGTCCATTCAGCATTCAACATTTAGCACAACACATTTG